ATAAATTTTATTAAGGTTGAAGCTTGAAGATCAATTCTCAAACATTTTATAAGTAAGTCCCATTAGTAGGACAATGAGTCTTGAATAAAGGAACCTTCCTGTGAATCAGTACTGCAACTTTAGTTGAACAATGCAGTTTTATAACAGGTTTTAATTTTATGATAATTCTGAGATTTCCAGGTTTGTGTGACAAAGTGGTTACGTTTAAGTTCACCGCTCAAATATATTTCTTATTTATCCAATATTTTTATATTTGGTCATAATGCTTGAAATTAAACATTGCTGTTGCACCTTTGCTTCACTCACTTATTTATGGTTTTGTTTGTGGCAGCATTATGTTACAGTCCTCATAAATGCATAAGTTTTAGTTAAAGCTAGCACTTCTGGACCACTGGATGAATATGAATGTTTCTTTTGTTTCAAATGTAAATTTTTTGCAAATTATTTATTTTGTTTTTACTTACCATTGTTTGTCCCTTTTAGATGCTACTGCCTAAGCTGGTGTATGGGAGGAGCCAGCCCAGCATTTCCTGATTATATGACTGTATGATGTCACTGATTGTGTCAATGGGTTCTACCAAATGGAGGGTTTTCTTTCTTTGACTTTTTTTTCTTTAATATATTAAAATCTGGCTTCAAAATAAAACTGCTTAACCCTTTAAAGACGAGGTCTAAATGGCCATCCCGGCGCGCATTCTCTCTTCTCTGTGCGTCAGCACTCGCTATGAAGCCATGTAGCGATAGCTAGCAAAACTACTACTAACCCTGCACACACCACGAACTCTAACTAACACACTTATCGTCTAAAAAACCCATCGAAACACTTAGTAAAATCCACAGCATCACTGTGCCCTAGTCTCTTGCCGTATCCAAATCCCCCCCCTCGTCTCTTTCCGCGAGTCTCCGTTCTACCTAGCAACAGACTGTCAACACATTTTTATTGGTTGTTTCGAAATGTGGTACATTTAGACCCCACAAAATAAGGCGGAAATGATCGATCTTATTTCTGGCTTTATTTTGAAGTAAATATCCCCAAAACCAATATAAAAACACCACTTTTATAAAGTTTGAAGTCCGTGCTGTCCAACAGAGTCGAAATGAAAACTCGGTATGCGTCCATGTTATTACGAAGCCTTATTAATGCGTCACATGCTTGTACGCCACACGGCGGGCAGCGACTACATAGGTTTAAAAAACAATTTTGTAATAATCAGCACAAAATGTATTAATGTCATCACATAATGCGGTGGTAACTACAAAATGTTCAAGGATTGTATTACATTTTGAAGTCATATTTTATTATTGCATATTATGGCGTTACTACATAATATGGCGTTACAAGGTTTGCGCGTGTTTGTGTGTGTACCTTCTTTAAAAAAATGTAAACCTTTTAAAGGTCAAACTCTAAAGGCTTTCATCAGATTCGAGGAACAATAATTTCCATGGCTGGTTTGTAAATAATAAAGTAACTGTTTACGTATTTAATACTGGAGATTCTCTCCATCAAAGATAGAGGAAAGGAAGGAAACAGTCAGAAACTAAACTGTGTAGCTCAACAGTAAGTAGGCCTACAAATGTGAACATCTGGCCTACTCCGTCACCCTCTGTCACAGAGAGTACCAGCATGTTTATGAAGAAGGCCTAATGTATATTCATTTTCTGAGAGCAAAAAGTTTCTTTCCTCTCAGTGCAAAGTTACTTTGCACTTGTAAACCAACTATTCATGGAATGGTTTGTATCACACACCACAACATGCAAACACATAGTGTTAGTTAGGACATTATTTTCATCTCAAGTGATTGCTGTCACATTATTTTACAAACATTGTTTATGTATAACCAGTACAAAAATGTTAATTTTAAAGTAATTATTGACTATGAAATGTCTAAAAATTATGACAACTTGTTTGCCAAATCTCAACAATGGCTTCCCCCCCAAATAAAGACAGTAGTCGTTGCAGCTGATTTGAACCCGTTTGCAAACCTCTGCTACTCTCTGGTATCAGAAGCTGCCTTTGTGAAGCAGTGGCAGCTACAAGTTGAGATAGCTGTTTCTCGATTCTTCGGTTGTGGACAGTAAGTCGCACCTTTCCAGCTATCTCATAAATACAAGATAAAGCTTATTATAAATCTTGTCATTACGAGATAATTTTTTGTAACTACGAGATCTTTTCTCATAATTATGACATCTTATCTCATTCTTATTATGATAAGGTGTCTATTTCTTTGGTGAAAGCAATTTCACCAAAGATTTTCTGATAGAAAAGGAAGACACACCAATGTTTTCAAACCTTTATTTCTATTATTACAAAGCGTTTCTGCATAGCAAGCGAAAACAAAAAAAATCATGATTACAATATTTTATCAGACTAATAAAGAAGCAATACAGATGTGGACTAAAAGCAGTTTAAAGTCTGCTTAAAGATTATTTTAAAAAGGTTAGCCTTTATTTAATCTGTTAAACAAATCTAATCAAATGCCTAAAATGGATTGAATATTTCTTGATAAAAAAAAAAATAAAAAAAATAACTGAGAACACAGCTTGTCTGTTGGAAAATAATGTAGTATGGTTAAAATCTTCCAGCATGCTTTGAACCTTACTAATTAAGTCATATAAATTCAACATTTTTATGTAAACACATCTTCAAAAATGAAAAATGTACAGTTAAGTCTAAAAGTGTCCAAGACACTGGCAGATTTAGGATTCAAGTAATCTCTTAATTTCTATTGTCTGGAAGTAATACTAACACTGTAGAATGACCTCCAACATAAATCGGATAAACAATGTGAGAAGGTTGCTGAAAACTTAAGTACATCAAGAGGGTCTTTCAACATCAAGGAGTCCAAGGTCAGCATAAAAGATAAAGCCTCCAAATACCAGTGAATAGATGCAAACAGATGGTCAGCATTTACAAGAACTTGATTACTGCAATTCCATTAACAATTTTTCTATTGATTATTGAATATTTGACATGACTTATTTTGACAATATGTACATTAAAATTAATATTTGTTTCATCCTAGACGAATGTTAATATAAGTGCATCTGGTTTTCACCAGTTTCTTATTTCATTTGAATCTAATACATGCCCTACATTGGACATTTGGGTTGAGGGTTTAAAGTGGCAACAGCAGTGACAAGACAAACTACTACCGCTACCGTCAGCCTCAAATGCAAGCTTACATACAAGTTGATGCACAAAATAAATATGCGCAACAATATTTATTGAATATCCCTACATTTTAGGGGAATGGGGCTTTTTTAAAAACATATTTTTATAATATTTATTTCAGTACAATATACACAAACCCTTGCTCAGGGAGATCCATGGAGAAGTATTCATATTCAGAATTTGATCTGAGAGTACACACTTTCTTCCGTGTTCATCTCCATAGCTTTCCTTCCTGTTTTCCTCTCCTTGCTCTCTGAAAAATTCAACGCAGCATAGTTGGCATTATTTTCATCCTCGACCTGTGTAGCAAACAAATGACTCATTAAAAGGTCAGTTTTATAAAGAAGTTTTGTTTAAATCTTGAGTCTCCACTTTGTAAAACAAATTATTTGTCATTTTATCGTATCAATACTTACTCTGCCTGCATTTTGCTTGATCATGTTATGTCTTGTTTGTAAAGAGGTGTTTTCTGTTCCTGGAGTGGAATAGAAATATTAACATTACAGATGGAAAAACTACAATTTTGAATATTTTCATGTAAGAAACAACACTTACCTGTAAATTGTTTGCACATTGCCCTGGAAGATCGGTCACAGAGAAATGCAATGTTTGCAATCACAGAAGTGATTAGAGAAGTCACAGCAATCAAAAGGAGAGTGACTTCAAGTGATAACCCTTTTTCTACAAACCAAAAGAAAGTAATCAAACTCATGTGTTATTTCATTGACTCAAAGTGTATATAACTCTCTTTTATATTAAAACAAACAAACAAAAAAAAACATACCGGTTTCCAGTTTGGTTCCATTACCAAAATGTGTCTCTCCACAGTAAAATGGTGCAGCATCTGAGGAGATGATATGGCTCATAAAGTGATGAAAACAATTCATTAGAGAATCACACCTCTTCACATCTTCACATCTGTTTTCATTAGAACAGTTGATTTTTGCACTGAACCAGAGCATGTTGATATCTCCTGGACATATCCTGTTTTTAGTATCTGACAGAAGTGAACATTGCATTGTCACTGAATCTCCTGGATTCTCTGGATTTGATACTGTTGGCCTTTGAACATCAGTATATTTTACAGTCCTTGCAGCATTTCCTGCAAAATACAAATTTGTAAATCAAATAAGACCACAGACCACAGTTTGAAAGTGTTTTGAAACATATCTTAAAGGAATCCATTCTGTGTTGCCCACAATTTAGGAATGAGTCAATTTTACAGCGAGTAATTTGAAATGTCTGTTTTAGTTTGGCATTTTATATTTTAACTGTTGGTCCTCATGTATGAGGACAAAAAGCAAACATGACAACTAAATTTGATCTCAGATGCAAAATAAGGAAGCTTAGTAAGACTTCTTTTTAAAAATGCTATTTTGTTCTGTAGCAAAGCTAATTGCATACCTTCATTAAAATATGTTGGATTTTGTTTTACCTTTCAATATCAAATTTGTTGCACTCCATTCAAAATCCACTGCTGAAGATTTTATTGCACAGTGATATGTTCCAAGATCTTTATGTGTCGTCCTCAAAATGGTCAGAATGGCAGTTTTATTATCATTATTAACTCTCCATGTTATGCCAGAAAACTGCTTTCCAAACTTGGAGATTGTTGGTTGTTGGCGTTTCATGGTCAGCTTAAGAAGCAGTCTCAAAGTATCTCCTGGACTCTGCTTGTACCAGTAGATGTCTTTTTGGATCAAATTGAGCTTTGGCAAAACACATTGAAAAGCTGCAGGTTCACCAAGCTGAACTTGCATCACTGGAATGAGACAATCTGACGAAAAAGAAGACATATTAAATAAAATAAGCGATCTTTATGTAATGGCTAAATCTTGCAACAAAATTGAAAGCACTTACATGTCCGTTGTAGAAAAAGCAGTACAACTAATAGCACCGACATCTTCATCCTCTCTCTTGCATTTGTACAGACAACACTATTTTATCAGACTGGGAGGAGCTTGTTGTTGCTGCAGGCTCCTGCCTGAAGCCAACTAGTTTCACAGAGCACACCTGTTAACTGGCGCTCTTCCTCTTTGTTACAATGTGCACTTGTTACTGAACCAGGTTGATTTTAGTGTCTCATCCGAGTCCCAAAGGTGTTGTTTTACATATAATGTTTGGCTAAGGCATCTTATAAAACGTTTTACACCTTTTTCTCCCCAGAGTCAAGCATCATAGCTATTTTACGACCATCAAAGAACTTTGAGGTGACAGATTAATTAAATGTCCACAACATCTTTTAGATTTTTCTGTATAATGCTAAATATAGCTTCTGAGCC